AATTTTCAGCTTTGTTGGTCAACTGGATAAGTTTGATTTCAGGTTATGAGAATTACCTTACACGTTTTATTACCTAAGACCGCTTTAGGTTTAAATACTGTTCGGGCCAAGACAACCCTCTGCTGGTGGGCCGCTGTACTACCCCCAAGTACCGGCCCTCACCTGACCATGACATTATGGACGTTGTAATATCGGCGTTGATGACTCAGACACTTCTCTGTGTACAGCAGCGACAGGTTGATTAATCGTGCTACCTAAAAACACGATAGTCACGCCCGCGAAGGTGTCACATGCAATTGGCTCCTGGATAGCTGCCCCTCTAAACTACGCTCCTGCTTGGCCGCGCATTTAATGTTACTAGTTGCGTATATCATCAGCGATGGTTAAGTCTCTTTCCTATGCAAATAAACACCTTAAGCAGCGCACCTTGTTAATTACCCCTTGTGTTTGTATTGTTTGTAATTCTTGTACAACTATGGTACCTTTAAAACAAATACACTGTATATAGCTTTTTTTGTTCATATTAGTAGAACACTTCCGCACATTGTCTTGATACTGGTCAACATACCCGCCCTATGATGTACGGAACACTAGATATGACCCCATTAAAGAATTACATATAAAGTGTGTAAATCTAATTGCTCATATCGTGAAATTTAACAAAAAAGCAGAAGGCAGTTAGTTGGTACATATTATATACTGTACCCACATTAGTCGGCCAATATACCCATTTTTAAGACAACTCTCATCCTTCATCATACAGGGATTTCAACCCTTCAAAAATATGTTTGCATAAACCGACTTTGTGTGTGTGTGTGTGTGTGTGTGTGTGTGTGTGTGTGTGTGTGTGTATGCAATATATAAACTCGGCACCAAGAACAGGATCACCTGACGCTTAATTGAATTGAATTGAAACGGTTTATTTAGCCAGAAAAACACAGATACAGAATGGATAATAATAACAATATTAACATGGCTGAGCCAGTTGAGAACCTGAGCTGCACCTGATATATACTATACATTTATCTCAAGGAAGTATTATGTAACATTTAGTATCATCTGGAATAGTACAATAGCATGGTGGTAATAAGAACATCTCATGTTACCACGATTATCACTTCAATATTTATTTATTTATTTTATTTATTTATTATATATATATATATATATATATATATATATATATATATATATATATATATATATATATATATATATATATATATATATAAATTACAGTGGAATTTAAAAACATAAGTATAATGGGGGAGCAGTACAACCTGGGTTGTACAGTATTAAGGTTGAACAAGAGGACAGAGCTGTCAGGATTATGTCTAGTTGGCAATTATGTTTATTGCAATGGTAATTACTTATTTATTTACATGATAATTTCCGATAAAACGGTTTTGATGGTACAATAAAAGCAGGTACTGTAAATATAGTAAGAGTTACAAGAAATATTAATACTTCGGCAATAGATATTTTTTAAGAGATGATTTAAAGGAAGGGAGCGTAGTCTTTGCTCGGATGGGTGGGGGTAAGTTGTTCCACACCTTCACACCGTGATATTTTATGGAGGTCTGGGACTGAGAGGGGCGCATGGGGGGTGGTCTTAGTAGCTCTGGGTGCCTTAAGTTGTTCTCGGGTCATAGTCTGTTCCTCCGCACCCATCTTTCACATTCACACAGGTCTGTAGGTTAGGTTAGATTAGGGTGGTTAATATTAAGGTGAAATAAGCTGAGGTGGCTAATGTTTAGGTGACTTGTTACTGATGTTCAGAACACTACCGGCTGCCTCACGTAAAGGCTGCAACGAAACTAGGACAAAGAAGCATTAAAGTCACACGGACACGACAGCGAAATTTTAATTCAAGGAAAAAAATATTATCTTGAGAATATTTGTGAATTTGACCATAAATTCTCAGAAATTTACGAATATTTGAAAATTTGGCCATAAATTTTCAGATCCTTAATTGTATTTAGCCATAAATTCTCATAACCTTACGAGTATTTGAGAAATTGGCCATACATTCTCAGATTCAAATGCTAAACACCTGGTCCGCCAACTCCAAGGACATTTGTATAAGAGAGAAAGTTTGACTGTGGGACGAATCTGCATTGCCAGGGAGGGAGGGAAGACAATTTAACTTACAATACCGTGAATCTGAGTCGAAATTTACCTGTGATTCTGTACGTAGTTAAGGTTGATCTCGGTATAACTTTAAGGCCATTTTGAGTGATGATTTTATACTCTAGAATCGATCAGTTGGAAGGTCCTCACATCTTTTCTGACGAGGAGGGATTGTAACGCATGAACCATTGATTACTGATTCTTGGTTAGGTTAGGTTACTGAATCCTGCTTAAAGTTAATCATGTTTAGGTTTGGTTATATTACTGAATTCTGGTAACTGGGATCCACACACACACACACACACACACACACACACACACACACACACACACACACACACACACACACACACACACACACACACACACACACACACACACACACGCACACGCACACACGCACACACGCACACACACACACCACCGTGGGTTGTTGCCTTGTGATGTAACCTTGTGTTTTGTCTGTCAAGGCGAAGAGAAGGTGAGGGTAAGCGAACCTTTCTCCTAGCCGGCGGGAAAACACGCCACAGAGGTTTGATTCTTGTCTAGTGCTGCCGATATTTACGTCAGTGTCGATATTAACGTCAGTGCCGATATTAACGTCAGCACTGATATTAACGTCAGTACCGATATTAACGTCAGTGCCGATATTAACGTCAGTGTCGATATTAACGTCAGCACCGATATTAACGTCAGTGTCGATATTAACGTCAGTGTCGATATTAACGTCAGTGTCGATATTAACGTCAGTGTCGATATTAACGTCAGTGTCGATATTAACGTCAGTGTCGATATTAACGTCAGCACCGACATTAACGTCAGTGTCGATATTAACGTCAGTGTCGATATTAACGTCAGTGTCGATATTAACGTCAGTGTCGATATTAACGTCAGTACCGATATTAACGTCAGCACCAATATCAACTTTAACACCAACATCAACGTCACTGCCAATAATAATGTCAGCGTCAACATCGTCACCACCAACAAAAACATCATAATCAAAGATAAAAACATCAACAGTGACACCAACAACTTCAAAACATCATCAACATGTCCCCCCACCCTCCCAAAAAAAAGCATAAAATAATAACATCTACTTCAATAATAATAACACCAAAATTACCAATACCAAACATCAATACCAACATCAATACAACCTCCACCACATGAACAATTATCACCGGCAACATCAATAATACCATCATTTTTATAACATCAATACACCTCGTCTGGCTGATGATAGTGTAAATAATTGAACCTGACCCAGTCCAGAACTCTACCACTTCCTCCAATTCAACACACACACACACACACACACACACACACACACACACACACACACTTGTTCTATAAGGTCTTCAGACAGCCCCTCTTCCTCCCTCTTCCCTTCACCACCAGTAACACCCCTTCCCTCCTTGTCTCCCTTTCTCCTTCCCTCCCACCCTCTCTTTCCCCTTCTCCCTCTCCTTCCATCTATCACCTGAAAAACACTCCTCCTTCTATTCTCATTCCACTCGTAACACTCCCTCATTCCTCTTCCTCTTCCCTCTCCTCCTTCACCATCAACAACTCTCCCTCCCTCCCTGCTCGTGACAATTATCCCCCTCCCTCTTTCCTTTCTTCCTATCTCTCCCCCACCTCCCCCCGCCTTCCCATTTAAGAGGCACCTTAGTAGACTTCCTCCCTTCCCCCTAGTAACGATAATTCCCCCATCTCCCTTTCCCCTTGCGTGTGGGCTGTCGTGGGGAAATTTTTAGGAGCTCTCTAACTGCAGTACCTCCCGGTGTGGCCCAGATAGCACAAAGGTCAATTATTCCAGCTGGGTGTTGAGCTCTGACCTCATCCTTTGTGACCTTACAACTCAGCTCTTTTAGGGTGGTGGTGGGTGGGTGGGTGAAAGGACTGGGTGTGGATGGGTGGTAAGAGGGCGTGGGTGGGTGGTGAGAGGGCGTGGGTGGGTGGTGAGAGGGCGTGGGTTGTAGTATGAAGGTAGATGTAGGTGGCCAGAGGGCGTGGGTAGGTAGTGAGAGGGCATGGATAGGTAGTGAGAGGGTAGGTAGTAAGAGGGCAGGTGTAGGTGGCGAGAGGGCGGGGGTGGGTGGTGAGAGGGAATGAGTGGGTACAGACAAACGTGTGAAGGGTCTCGGGTGACCATGATCACTCGAGACTGACTTTTAAGACTCATCGGTAGCTAAACAAACCATGTGGACTTACCAATAAAACCCCAGATACTTCACAGTGACTAACCTAACCTAACCTAACCTAACCTAACCTAACCTAACCTTACTTTTGAGTGACTCCGCTATAACACGACTAACTACAGTGAAACCTACCTCTTTAACGGATTATATGTGCGAGGTTAGTCCGTTATATATGAAACCTCCTTCTAATGGACTATATGAGAGGGGGGGGCGAGGTTAGTCCGTTATATATGAAACCTTCTTCCAACGGACCATATTTAAGAGGTTTGTCCGTTAAATCGAAGTCCGTTTTATGGAGGTTTCAGTGTACCATAACCTTTTATATCTATTTCTTCAGGTTTGCGTAACGGGAAATATTTGTATACATGTTGGCCTTGTAAACACGATGAGAAGGTTAAGGCCAGGGGCGATTGGCAACCTAATCTAACATCATTAACCGCATTAAAGTTACCTGGGGGGAGGGGGGGGTTAGGTTACTGTTAGGGCGGTTTAGTCATCAGGGGAAATAAGCTGGGTGTCTAAACTTCAGGTGGTCTAAGGCATGATCTTATATCGCCGTGAGTTAACTGATGTAATGGTATCTATTCTTCATCAATTTCTATAATAATATGTGCTGAGTGTTACCAGTACAGTATTCCCTAACACTGTCGGCGGCCTCTCCCACAGCTCCTGAGATCCTGGAGGCACTGCAGCCGTTCAGGAAGGAGTTAAAAGACGTGATGAAGCAAGAGGTCGGGCGGACGTTCGTGTTCCTGGACGGCAACCGACTCTCGTGCCGGAGGAAGGAGTGTAACCTTGGCAACATCGAAACTGACGCCTTCATCCATGTGGTGAGTACACGAGAGAGAGAGAGAGAGAGAGAGAGAGAGAGAGAGAGAGAGAGAGAGAGAGAGAGAGAGAGAGAGAGAGAGAGTCATAGAAGTTCTCATTGATGGACAAAGACAATGTACATAAACAATACAAGTATACAATGCATATAGACAGGGCTGGCTGGTAAACATATATGGTGCATGTAAACAATGAGATTAGTATGGTGTAAAATAACCCATCCTAACCTGACTCACCGAACCTAAAAGGAGAAAGTGAATTTCATAGTCCTGACGACACCTTCACAAACAGTATGGATCAGTGAGGTAAGAAAGGGCTGCTTTCATTTACCCCTTTCTGAAGCTAGGTGATGTACCCATTTACAGTTGGTTGGCCTAGGAGCGCCCTGGGATCGAACCAACGAGGCAAGTGTTGAATTCACTCGACTCAGCCTCTAACTTAATCTAACCCAACCGAACATAACTCACAACTAACCGAACATAACCCACAACTAACCGAACATAACCCCCAACCGACCGAACATAACTCACAACTAACCGAACATAACTCACAACTAACCGAACATAACCCCCAATGACCGAACATAACTCACAACTAACCGAACATAACTCACAACTAACCGAACATAACCCCCAATGACCGAACATAACTCTCAACTAACCGAACATAACTCACAACCAACCGAACATAACCCACAACTAACCGAACATAACCCCCAATGACCGAACATAACTCACAACTAACCGAACATAACTCACAACCAACCGAACATAACCCACAACTAACCGAACATAACCCCCAATGACCGAACATAACTCACAACCAACCGAACATAACTCACAACCAAATGAACATAGCTCACAACTAACCGAACCTAACACCCAATAACCGAATATAACCCCAAAATCCGAACATAACCGAACAATAGTAAAAAAAAAAATTACAATTGCCTTCGTCGTTCTAGACCTTAATACTTTATCAATATATGACTACTATGAATAAATTAAATTATATAAAACTCAATTCGCATCCCAGTAGCCTAGACATGTGTTGGGTGGGTTCACTGCCTGGTTAAAATATAATGGTACAGAACTTACAGATTAACACTCTTGCAGAACGCCAAGTACCCAGATGACTTGAGGTGGGCACACACGAGCCTGGCGGTTCAGAACGGAGGAGGGATCAGAGCTTCCATCGACGAGCGAACTTCTATGGGTCAGTAATCTCTCTTAAATAATAATAATAATAACTGTATTTTAGTCGCAATATATATACAGTAATAGTAATTTTACTATTTATTCACGAATTTATGATTCAAATGCCTAATACTGTATTGCCTCGTGTGGATTTCAAATTAAGTGTATATTTTTCCTGATGATTAATTTCTTTAAGTCTTCTTAGTGTCTGTCTAGTATGTCCTCAAGTACAGCCCCAGGGCAGACGGGGTGGTACGGTGTTCTCTCTAGATTAAAGACGTAGTTACGGATATTTTCAGGGTCAATAACCATGGAAGATATCCTCACTGTGGCGCCATTCCAGAACACAATAGATATCGTTGAACTTCGAGGAAAACACGTGAGACAAATGTTCGAGCAGTCTGTGGTAAACTATGACCCGAAATCACTAGATCTTCCTGGAGGTTTTCTGCAAGTTTCTGGTAAGTCAATATTCATTTTCTTTATTTCTATTCATAGAAAACGACCTTAATATAAAACACTTCATGGGTAACTTTGGTAAATCAATGTTCGGTGTCTCGTGTTACATATTTAACAAACGCATTTGAAATCATATAATTCTTTATTCACTTACACGTTACTGAGAGATAGAGTTAGTAAATTCACATAAAATAGGTCAGGAAAAGTTACTATGAGAAAGATAGAGAACAGTTGACTGAAAATGTACAAAGGGCCACCAGACTGGTGCCTGCACTCCGGCACTTCTGTTATCCCGAGAGATTATAGCGCCTGCAACTGCCTAGCTTACTCTACAGACGGGTGAGGGGTGAACTAATTGAGGTGTATAAACATCTCAGAGGGAACTACTCGGTCAAGTGTACACACCTGGTGAGCTGACGGACGCTCGCCGCATAAGGGGTCACAGCTCAAGGTTGGAAAAAAACCGCAAGTCCAGAAAATTGTGAGGACAAACTTTTTCAAAGTGAGAATTGGGAACACTCGGTGCCGTCACAACACTCGGTGCCGTCACAACACTCGGTGCCGTCACAACACTCGGTGCCGTCACAACACTCGGTGCCGTCACAACACTCGGTGCCGTCACAACACTCGGTGCCGTCACAACACTCGGTGCCGTCATTAACACTCCGGGGTACCGTGCCGTCACAACACCTCGGTGCCACTCATTGGGAACACCCAAATCACACAACTTACTCGGTGCCGTCACAACACTCGGTGCCGCCGCAACACTCCCCGGTGCCGTCACAACACTCGGTGCACATTGAATACCCTCGGTGCCGTCACAACACTCTCGGTGCCGTCACAACACCGGTGCCGTCACAACACCGTCGGTGCCGTCACAACCTGGTGCCGCCACAACACTCGGTGCCGCCACAGCACTTAACAGTGCCGCCACAACACCCCCGGTCCGCCATTGAACACCTTCCGCCGTCACAACACTCGGTGCCGTCACATCACTCCGGTGCCGCCACAACACTCGGTGCCGCCACAACACTCCGCAGGTGCCGCCACAACACTTCGGTGCTGTCATTAACACCCTCGGTGCCGCTCACAACACTCGGTGCCGTCACAACACCTCGGTGCCGTCACAACACCTGGTGCCGTCAAACACTCGGTGCCGTCACCGTCCACTCGGTGCCGTCACAACACCCCGGTGCCGTCACAACACTCAGTGCCGTCAAAACGTGCCGTCACATAACACCGGTGCCGTCACAACACTCTGGCCAGAACACTCGCGCCGCCGTGCCACAACACTCGGTGCCGCCACAACACCCCGGTGCCGCCATTAACACCCCGGTGCCGCCACAACACTTCGGTGCCGTCACAACACTCGGTGCCGTCACACTCGGTGCCGTCACACACTTCAGTGCCGGTCACACCACACAACACTCGGTGCCGTCACAACACACCCCGGTGCCGTGCCGTCCAACACTCGGTGCCGTCACAACACCTCGGTGCCGTCACAACACTCGGTGCCGCCAAGAACACCTGCCGTCACAACACTCGGTGCCGTCACAACACTCGGTGCCGTCACAACACTCGGTGCCGTCCACAACACTCCGGTGCCGTCACAACCGCCCCGGTGCCGCCACAACACTCCCGGTGCCGCCACAACACTCGGTGCCGCCACAACACTCCGGTGCCGTCACAACACCGCCACACAACTTACTCGGCTTACTCCAGTGCCGTCACAACACAGCACCGCCACAACACTCGGTGCCGTCACCACCACACCGGTGCCGTCACAACACTCAGTGCCGCCACAACACTCGGTGCCGTCACAACACTCGGTGCCGTCACAACACCTCGTGCCGTCACAACACTCGGTGCCGCCACAACACTCAGTGCCGCCACAACACTCCGGTGCCGCCACATAACACTCCGGTGCCGCCACAACACTCGGTGCCGTCACACAACACTCGGTGCCGTCAGCACTCCGGTGCCGTCACAACACCGGTGCCGTCACAACACTCGGTGCCGTCACAACCTCGGTGCCGTCATTAACAACCTCGGTGCCTCGGTGCCGTCACAACCTCGGTGCCGTCACAACACTCGGTGCCGTCACAACACTCGGTGCCGTCCGCCACAACACTTAAATACCTCGGTGCCGTCACAACCTCAAAAGCCGTCCAAATACTCGGTCCACAAATACCCCGGTGCTGTCACAGCACTCGGTGCCGTCACAACCTCAGTGCCGCCACAACACTCAGTGCCGTCCACTCGGTGCCGTCACAACCTCGGTGCCGTCACAACTTACTCAGTGCCGTCACATCGGTCGGTGCCGTCGGCTAACACCCCGGTGCCGCCGTCACAACACTCGGTGCCGGCACACTCGGTGCACTCAGTGCCGTCACAACACTCGGTGCCGTCACAACACTCGCAGTGCCGCCACAACACTCGTGCCGTCACAACCTCAGTGCCGTCACAACCTCAGTGCCGTCCGCAACCGGTGCCGTCTGGCACTCGGTGCCGCCACAACCCTCGGCCGTCACAACCCTCTGTCATAACACTCGGTGCCGTCACACAACACTCAGTGCCGTCCTGGCAACCTCGGTGCCGTCACAGCACTCGGTGCCGCTCACAACACTCGGTGCCGTCACAACAACTCGGTGCCGTCACAACACCCTCGGTGCCGTCACTCAGTGCCGTCACAACACTCGGTGCCGTCCACAACACTCAGTGCCGTCACACCGGTGCCGTCACAACACCTCGGGTGCCGTCACAACACCTCGGTGCCGTCACAACACTCCGGTGCCGTCACAACACTCGGTGCCGTCACAACACCACTCCCCGTGCCGTCACAACACCTCGGTGCCGTCATTAACACCCCGGTGCCGTCACAACACTCGGTGCCGTCACAACACCCCCGGTGCCGTCACAACACTCGGTGCCGTCACAACACTCTCTGACAGATTGTTCCAAGAGTTTATACTCTCCCAAAGAAGTTTTCCCTCACAATTTTTTGAACTTATGGCTTCTTCAGCCTTAAGCTGTGAGCCCTAGTGGGCAGGGCGTCCGCCAGCTCAGTATGAACACTCGACTGAATAATGCCCTCGGAGGTGTTTATAGACTTTTATTAAGTCGCCCCTTGCCCGCCTGTAGTATAAACTGGCAACTGCAGGCGTGACAATCTCTCTGGGTAACTGAGATGTCCTAGTCTGGTGCATGCTAAATCAACGCGAGCTTGTATAACGACTTTACTGATTAGCTACCTATCTAGTCTATGTAAAAAAAAAACAGCTTTCACGCGTATGTGACCTATTTGGTCATAATACGCACGCACAGTGATTCTATAGGCTTTAAAGCAGTCTAGGAGCAGTGCAGATACTAGAACTAAACCTAGTACAAAGGGAGACAATATGGCCGGCACTGCACTCGGCCAGGTTCACTTCTCCAGTTAGACAGGTTGTTACAGCTCGGGTGACTGGGTACGAACCACAGGAGGCGAGTGCTGCCTCCAGTCGTCTGTAACAAACCCAAGAACAACACAATACTCTGGCTAGAATACAAACAAACTTAAACGAAGATCGTAAGGCCCTTGTTGTCATAATTGGTAATTGTGTACACTTAGCAACCACAGCGATGTATTTATTGTTATTTGTTAATGACGTGTGTATGTAATGACCTAAAATGACTACTTAAAGACCATTGTTGTTAAATTGCGGTAATACAGTATAACATCCAGACAATATCGCCCAGTGTTACTGATATATTTATAATAATAACTGGTGTTCAGGGTTCGTGGTGGTGTACGACATCAACATGCCTCCGGGGTCGCGGGTGGTGAGGCTCCAGGCCCGCTGTCAGGAGTGTCGCGTGCCGGAGATGAAGGAGGTGGACGATGACCTTACCTACAGGATCGCCATGACCTCCTTCCTGGCACGTGGAGGTGACGGTTACTCGGTCATCAAAGACAACAAGGTCAACCATCACCTGACAGGTATAAATTTTGATATATAATATTTTTCTTTGTTAACTAAATCACATTACTTTAAAAGATCGCTTAACGCAATTGACTTCAGCCTAATTACTTCACATATCTATATTTTTAAGTCAATATTGAATCATACAGCTATACAACTGACGGGTAAAGTTAGAGGTTACTGGTCGCTTGAAGATTAACCCCCTAGTTTATGTTACCTTAAAATTAACCAACCTAATGTTAACCTAACCTAACCGTCCACGTAGCGTTAACGTGAAATAAGCTGTGGGTTAATCTCCAGGCGATCCGAAGCTACAATCAAAACTACATATTCAGTAAAAAAAAATAGCAAGTCACTGGTTCTCTGTGTAGAAATAATACAAGTTCATGAATGAGGAGTATGATGCAGTTTTGACCTATCGCTGATTTAATTGTTGAATATTTTTGTTTTATTCTTTTCAGTATTAAGAACAACATGGATATGCAGTATCAGTAATTAGTCAAGATCAATTTACTTAATACGACCTATTTAATTAATTTACCACAGCATGTTTACATGATAGTCTATTTATTCACAGCAATATGTAGATTATGTGTACACTTGGTTTGGTGGAGGACTGACCAGAGACTCCCAATCCCCCACAGGTCTACTGGATACAGATGTCTATGACCAGTACATCAAGCAGGTCAGCCCACTCTACATGGGCCTGGAAAACCGCATCCTCTTCGTGGACTCATCTGAACTCTGTCCTGGTATGCCTGGCGAGAGTACCCCTCCTCACATAACAGCTTACACACTCCCGGGAGAGAACATTACCACACCGGCCGGAGGAGGAGGGGCAGGGGCACACGAAGCAACACTAGTGGTGGTGATGATGGTGGCGGTGATGGTGGTGGTGATGGGGGGTAGCCAGACTTAACTTAGAGTATAGTGGGTCTCTTGGTGTAGTTGTCCGTCCACTATTGATTGAAGAGTGTAAGTGTCGTGTTGATATCTCACAGAGTTCACTTGTTTTATGTTTTTCAGTCCGGATTCTCGGAAATTCTTACGGTAATTCACCTCTCTTTTTTTCCCTCCATTTCTAAGTTAATATGCAACAATACATCAATGTGGGTGTCTTTCAAAATTACATCACAAAAATGGAGTAACGTTTGAATCTCTTGAGTAGAAGGATCCAGTTTATCAGTATTTGTCTGCAATAAGGGTTTTATTATGCTTTTCTCTTTTTTATGAGTAAAGATATACCAGTAATAGTTCCTGTAGTTGTGAATTAATAATACACCATTGTACATATTCATAGTAACAAAGTGATGGTACGTAGATACAAGTTAACAAGTTTTACCACTACGTGTGAGTAGATGGTATTGACAGCGGCACGTGGGACAGTGAATTACCCTTGTGATTGCAGCAGTGTCCTCTCCTACGGTGATACGGTGCATAATTGTATACAGGTATATTCATATCTCAAATATCTATCATAGTTTACAGTCCCCTTCACTAGTGCGTTTACAGGGGCTCATCAGGTTTTGTGCTGTGTTTGTTTACATTAGACAGAAGGAAACTCTTAATAGTACAGTAAACAAACTATGGAATCAAAGTAAAACTATTAAAACAAATATCTCAATGTAATGATTTGTGGAATGTTTATACACCGAGCCCCTGTAAATGCACTAGTGAAGGGGACTGTATCTACTTGATAGAGTTCCAGGAATTCCACATTTGGTCATATTGCTCAAGTGTAACATATAACATCACTAACCATCATCAGTAACGCGTAACATCACCGCCTCACAAGCCTAAATCAAGCTGCAGTCTGGTGAATCTCCGCACTGTGTCACTAAGCATTTATACGACTAGGATGAACAAGGATATTAGTTTAAACTATACCCCTCTAGTATAATATAATAACCCAATTTATCAAACTTAACCTACAATAGTTCTTGTTTCTCCTGGGATGAAAATATAATGTTCATAGTGTTGCCAATCCCACAGTATTAAAGAGCAACACAGTGGTGCCAACCCCACAGTATTAGACAGGGACACAGTGCATTAATGTTAAAGAAGAGCCACTAACCAACAAACTTGTGTAAATATTCATATAAATTAGTTATATAAGGTAAATATATTTAATGGGTCGTTTCAGATGCTCATAATTAATATAATTGTACTGTTATTTGAGAGAGAGAAAGAGTTTTGACCTAAAGGCATTATAAACATCTTTACTACATGCACAGACACACATGAATACTAATATATATATGTACAATTACACTCTTTAACCACACATACACACACAAACAACGACACACGTAAATGAACGTCTGAGGTGACACTTGAGGCATAAAAGGCGAGACACGAGAGTTGTATATACAGTGTAACATAATAACAATGTCGTGTCTTGCAGCAATAGCGACTACTGTGATATAATTCTGTAGTATTATTATTAATTTTATTACTTTTAAAGTTTTTACTATTGTTAGATCATATTACTGTATTTTAAAAAATTTTCTGCAGCTCGTAATATAACTCTTGTCAAAGTTAATTACACAGTACTGTTAGTTATATTTGCAAAGGTGTGACATTTCCTTAAGTTTTGAATTTTTTTTACAAATATATTTTTTTTCAGCAACTTTAAACGCACATTTTGATCACAAATCACTATCGATTCTTCACAAAACCAATATACAGTACAAGACAATTCATTTGCAATAAACTCAATTTTCTGCAGCTTAACACAACAAGATTTACGGAGTGTGGCTACCGACTCGCCAGTGTACTGATGTAGAGTCGGTGTACATAATTACTTATTTTAATCACCAGGCACTAACCAAACAATCCTCAGGTGTGGCTTGTATTAAATGTCGTAAGCTGCATGTTTCCTATAGCCAAATTAGCCTCATGCATGCCGAGGTTAACTATTTTGTACACAATGAGATTGCAACATTTCATTAGCCATCAGTAGTCACCTCGTTATCAACACTTCTCTGTTTCTGTGATATATAAAGGACAGTTTAAATATATAATTACTAAGACCTTAACGACAATGTGGCCTTATACAGGTGTCTTACATTGGACATATAAAAATATACAATATTATGACTTGTCAATTTCACTTCTGACTTTTACACACCGTATGTCGCCTACTGAATTGTGGATTGAAAGCCAAATATATACATAGTACATAACGGGTTTGTGGGTCAGTTGAACCACTGATCGTCTTAAGACTTTAGTGATATGAAATTCCATGTAATATTTGTCTAGTGCAATGAGCCACTGTCAGGACGCATGTTAAACTAATGGAATGACAGATACAGTATCTAATAACTAACAAACACTGACAAAGATTGGTTCAAAATTCAGGAAGTTGTTTTTTTAATGTTACAGTACTAGTAAATGTAGATTTCTTTTTTAAAAAAGGTGACATTACAGAATATTGAAATATTTGACTTCCTCAGCTATTTCCTCAATTTGTAATTATAACTTTACTGCCTTAAGTCAATTGTTATTGCGTACTTTTGTACCAAGTTTCGTCAGGGTAAGAAAACAAACACACAAATGCTACATTCATAGCTTCATACCACCTAACTACAATTTATAATAACTATTCGCAACGACTCCAAAGGGGAAACTGTATAGAACATCTACACAAACATTTCATTTGGCTAAGGAATTTAATATAATAATTTGCGTATTCAAATATCTACTTAATGGCATTAGTGAGTAACTGACTGTGATAAATATTCTCTTCTGTTCTGTCATAAGCTTTCACTTCCTTCTTTCCTCTATCCCTTCTAACATTTACCCCCAACAGCGGCGTCAAACAAGTCACAAGATTTGGTTCACGAGGAAGGCAGCTCATATGACCATTACAACATGGCCCCTCACGAGGTGTTGAGTGAAATGATGCAACGACACGATGACTATTTCCAGAAGCATTATGTCACGCCTCAGTCAGCTACACCGAAGAAAACGGGCTCTAGTCAAGGCCGAGAAGACAAACTTGAGGGGTACCTGATACAACCTGCCGGGAAGAACACTGAGAACGATTTTCATGGCGGTCACGTAACACAGTTTCCTATAAAGCTATCCGATATATTTTTCGAAGGTTCCCGGGTTGAAACTCCTGATGGAAGTAGCAGGAGTTATTTTAACTTCGATTTTGGAATGTGATGTTTTAACTGGTGTTATTTACGTACAAATATAACCTTGAGTACACACCCAGGAAAAGTAACCACAACGTATACATAAGAGCTCGTTAGTCACTTGTATCTGGTCAAAATAATTATTAAACATGCGAAATATTCTGTAATAAATAACAACACAACTGATTAAAATTAGAGGTAAACAGTAGCTAAAACAACTATCTGTGCACACTTTGAGGGAAACAATATGAGACCATGGACGATAAATATTGGTATATGAGGGCTGTCACTAGTCACATGTAAAATTTCGGACCATATTGACCCCCACCTGCACAGATAGCTGATTTAGCTACTGTGCAGTATACAAAAATTTATTACGGTAATAAAAATCAAGAATTGGTATTAAACTTTTAGTATAACAACGTTTCACCAATAAATCTGTAAAATAATTTTGAAGTGATAAGCTGAATTTATCACCAGTTTATTAAATAATGAAATTCAACTATCAGCATTATTGTCTTCATATTAAATAAGGAAAAGCTTTTGTCGTTTCCGCTATCGAAAAGTGTAACCATATTCTTGTTATTTTTTTTTTATATAACGGACGATTAATTAGAGAGCGAAAGCAATCACATCTTAACTGAGTACTACTATCACACATTTTATATATACAATCTCTCCCTGGTACACTATGTCTAATCTACGATAAACAACAATTTGACAAAGCAACGTAACGATGTGATTTATCCGTGTCATTCAGCCTTCCTCAGTGATTTATCTAAGTTTACCCGAAAAATTGGCGCGTATACTGTATTGCATTTTCTTATGACTTAATACTTCTTTACTGGTTTTAATTATATGCATCTTCGTTTCTTCATGATCTATCCTTTATTTTTCTTCTTATTTGACTCATCTAACTAAAGTGGACTGTATCTTCTAATATTTTCTTCTCCAGGTGTTTAAAATATATTAGGTACTGTTTTAGGAACGTGTGTGAGTTATGTCATTTAGATGTTTGCAACTTCATCTACGGGACTAAACACAGTGTCATACCATCTTAAACACGTTTGAACGATAAGATGTTTAGGGGAATGTATATATCTTCCCAATTAATTTTTCACAGACACAAACATCAACTTTACATACACACACACACGTCCTAAAGCAGAGTACCGGGCCAAATTTGAAGCCATTCACAATGATCTGAAACCATTTTGCACCCAGTTCTCTCGTAAACAATCAAGACTGTTCATTTCCTCATACTTATTCTCTTAGCGGTTTCTCTTTCGAACAATCACTTGCGTCAGTTCCAAGAGATTTTGTAATGTTTTGTATTATGTCATTAATTTTGTTACAGATGTGTGTGTGTGTGTCATTTCATATTCAAAGTTGTGTGTTACCAATAATTATTCAAGACAAGTGAGACACAGTTATGGAGTATTTGATTGAAACTTGTTATGTTTATACACTGTGACTTCCTAGTAAAGTATTGTTAATTACAGTTATATATTATTTTATTGTGTACGATGTTCAAGCAGGGCAAAGATATATATATAATTATAGGGAAATAACTGCACGGAAACAAATTAATATATGAGAATTTTAAGTGGTAAATGTGTTTGTTGGAAATAAAATTTAAACATATCTTGATTTTGTAATATCCATTTTTTTAGGATCAATCTCAGAGTTGAGGTAAGTTGACTGATTGATTCCCATAAATCCAAAAAACATGTTGAAAAAAAAATGTTCAAGACAAAACCCATTATTCAAGATCTAATATAGATCATTTTATCATAGGTAATTCCTAAATGTTTATCGTCAAGAAAAGTTAAATAATGATAAAAGGATAAGATACAAGTTGATGATATATGCTACTATTAATACAGGATGACAAGCTGGAGATACAACGCCACCAACAGACCCGTCAAACTGTTTATGCTTTATTTTGTTACTGCGTCTCACTCTCTGATGCTATAATATAACATATATCACAGACCAATAACACCAATGAGCTTCTCAGTTCAATCAAAATATCCTGAATGGTGGATAATGCAGCACGAAGTTATAGACTAATTTTTTTTTTTTCGCCAGCAGACTTTCCTGATAGATGGAATGTACACACTTTGAATGATTTTGACTTCACTGAGAATATAATCAAGACTGTAAGCTTTTTTTTTTTCAACTTAACCTAGGTTAGATAAAGGGCTATCACGCTGGGCACATGTCCGTATTCCTCGGGAGCATAACGGGGATACCGCCATTTTCGGTCAGATTTTTACACTTGAAACTAATAACTGGGGGGAAAAGGAGAGTTCTCGGGCAAGATTTTACCGCATTTCGGGTCCAACTGAGGTTTTATAATATTTAAAATTGGAAAGCAATTATTTTATTAAAATTACGAATAACAACTTTAAGTGATTTTAAAGCAAATTATTATCAATAGAATATATTTTACACATAAATATGGAAATTACAGATAATTTTTTATTGAACTTCTGTTTATATCCAGTGAACATGGCCAGTTTGGACTTTTCAAGCCTCGCAAATTATTTAGACAAGAAACTTTCCTTGTGAGGTGAACGGCGCCACAATTGAGCGTGTGGTTGGAAAAGTCGGTTTTTCTGATCGAGAACAGAAAAATAAGAACCGAGAATAACGGAAATTCTGCCCAGTATGTTACCCCCTTTAAGGTAGGTTCCGTTGTTTGGTTAGATACTACGGTTTGTTTCTGGTTTGGTTTATCTAATATATATATTTATATCTCAAAGAGCGTCATCTTAATAATAATGAAAACTCACTTCATACTCACGCAGCACACCATATCAATATTCTTACTATCTTGGTACTTCCTCTTACACTTGGAAACAGATTTAGGTTAACATTCTTTTGTGATTTTTTTAATAATAAATATATTATCTATGCAGTCAAATTGTGATATTTCGCCTTGAATTTTTCCCTTAAGTACAGAACTGTAATATAAAGATAACAGGTAAGACTCCAACACCACTCACATCAAACAGGGAGAAAGAAAGAGAGATATTAAGAACTGCATACATTAACGTGTCATGAATTAACCTTATTGTTTCAGTACAGATGCTTCAACTGCCAAGGTTATTAAGCACCGTTCACTAGGTCTTAGTTTTAGGTGCTTCAACTGCCAAGGTTATTTAGCACCGTTCACTAGGTCTTAGTTTTAGGTGCTTCAACTGCCAAGGTTATGAAGCACCGTTCACTAGGTCTTAGTTTTAGGTGCTTCAACTGCCAAGGTTATTAAGCACCGTTCACTAGGTCTTAGTTTTAGGTGCTTCAACTGCCAAGGTTATTAAGCACCGTTCACTAGGTCTTAGTTTTAGGTGCTTCAACTGCCAAGGTTATTTAGCAGTTAGCACCACCGTTCACTAGGTCTTAGTTTTAGGTGCTTCAACTGCCAAGGTTATTTAGCACCGTTCACTAGGTCGTTTTTAGGTGCTTCAATTACCATGAATGTCAAGCACAGTTCAATTCGACTTTTAATTTCTGCAACAAATTCTTTAAATTAAGAATAAGTTGTAGTTACTTAAGTACTGAGATTCTTCAACAGCGAGTCATTATGCGTCGTCCACTAAATTTTAAATAATCTGTAATCGCTCATAGGAGTGATTTTGGTTTGTGCAGGACAATAAGACCCTTGTCGTTAACGCGATGAGTATAATTCGGTCAAAACCTGTTGAATACATTTCACATATAACAACTGTTGATACACCAGGACACAGTTTGAATAATACGATCAATATACAGTATATAATTACACTTATTAAAGTTATTTAGAGTTCTCAGAGGATTCAACAGTTCACAATCACACTCACGGTTAGGGGTCTAGAGTTAGACCAACGAGAACAAATCTAATGTCCTGCTGGAAGATATTGGCTGACGAGAATCAAGAAGTTGCCTTTACAGTAGAAGGCGATAGACTGTCCCTCAGACAGTCACACAGCTGCTACCAGCTCCATCTGGCTTAGTAAGCTATTCTGAGTTGTAAACAGTTTCTTACTTAACATGTGGCCGGCGCGCACATTTAGCACCTCAGCAAAGTTCGTTGTCAACACTCTGTCTCTCTCCTCTCTCCCTTTCTCTCTCTATCCCTCTCTTTCTCTCTCTCTTCTAGTTTACCTTACTGTAGCGGTAACAAATCCACTAGACAACAGACAACTTTGAATAATTACAATATTCCATTTATTGGGTGGTGAAATTATTTATCTGAGAATCAATAATACTTAAAATATTAACCAGTGATTGTGTTAATGTATTGGTGATTTTGGATAGTGAAACTGTTTTAGTATGATAGTAATTCTACTATCTTTAGGCGCGAAGTAGGTAAACACTGGTTTGGAAATAGAGTAGTGGACGAGTGGAACAAGTTACCAAATATCATCATTAACTCGAATACGCTGGACAGCTTCAAACATAGGCTGGGTGGATATATGAGCAATAGGGGTTGGGTGTAAATGGGACTGCCTAGTATGGCCCACTGCAGTGTCCTCCATTCTTATGTCTTCTAACACTTGTGACCAGACGTCCCTGGCTCTTCTACAGGAGCTGCCCGGGAGTTGAAACGTTTCTCCCCTTCTCCCTCCCTAATCCCTCCTCCCCACCAAGAAACCAGTACAAGGATTATTGATCAATTCATTGCCGTAACAAAATTGTCAATTTCAATTAGAACACAGAATGGAAAAGAATAAGTGAATAAACATGTTGCTTACACAGTGTTTACAATGTAGGCCTTTACGGCACACTAGAGATGAGATACCGTGAAAACCAGCTTGGCCCTTCCACACCACACTACCAGTGAGGCAGGCCTATAACCACGTGTTACCTCTACAACACCACTCACGAGGCAGGCCTATTAACCACGTGTTACCTCTACAGCACCACTCACGAGGCAGGCCTATTAACCACGTGTTACCTCTACAGCACCACTCACGAGGCAGGCCTATTAACCACGTGTTTCCTCATAAAAGCACCACTCACGAGGCAGGCCTATTAACCGTGTTTCCTCTACAACACCGCCCACGAGGCAGGTCTATTAACCACGTGTTACCTCTGCAGCACCTGCAGAGGCAGGCCTGTGACACGTGTGCACTCCTGCAGCACCGCACGAGGCGGTCTGCCCCAAGCACGGACATCTACAACACCACCCACGAAGGGCAGTCTATTAACCACACGTGTTACCTCCTGCAGCACCACTCCCACGAGGCAGGTCCTATTAACCACGTGTTTCCTCACAACCCACCACCCAGGGGCAGTCTATTAACCACGTGTTACCTCGCGTGCCCATAGGGCGGGTCTATTAACCACGTGTTCCTCTACAACACCACCCACGAGGCAGGTCCTGAAGTAACCACGTGTTTCCTCTACAACACCACCCACGAGGGCGGTCTAATAACCACGTGTTACCTCCTGCAGCACCACTCACGAGGCAGGCCTATTAACCACGTGCTACCTCTACAAACACCACCACGAGGGGCAGGTCTATTAACCACGTGTTTCCTCTACAACACCGCACGGGGTCTGGTAACCACGTGTTACCTCTACAGCACCACTCACGAGGCAGGCCTATTAACCACGTGTTTCCTCACCACAACACTACGCACGGCGGGTCTGTTAACCACGTGTTTCCTCTACACCCACCACCCACGAGGCAGGCCTATTAACCACGTGTTACCTCTACAACACCACCCACGAGGCAGGTCTATTAACCACGTGTTTCCTCTACAACACCACCCACGAGGCAGGTCTATTAACCACGTGTTACCTCTACAACACCACCCACGAGGCAGGTCTATTAACCACGTGTTTCCTCTACAACACCACTCACGAGGCAGGCCTATTAACCACGTGTTTCCTCTACAACAACAAATCATCAGTGATTCTTTTTAACTCCATCTAACATTTTGTTTATCGAAAGCCTTTGTTAAACAATCTACTCCCCAATGCCTATTACCGTAAGCCATTTTTGCCCACTGTACTTTTCAATAACCCGTTAATTGTTATTATTAAAACGAAACTATGAACCTTTCATATTACTATGCTAAGCCATAGTACAGTATAATATAATAAACACTACACTACACTATACTATACTACTACTAATAATATGTTGCCGATAGCGATCACCGTCTTTTCCACTACGAGATAAATTACATTGATAAAAGAATAACTAACATGACAATCACTGCGGCCTCCCTGCATCCTCACAGGTGACTACTGGTGTGTGTGTGTATGTGTGTGTGTGTGTGTGTGGACTACGAGTGACAGCGAAGAGAGAGAGAGAGAGAGAGAGAGAGAGAGAGAGAATAATGTTTACGATTATGTCTGACCCCAAGAATTAGTGTAGCAGATTTGAACCCTGGAACTGAACCTTAAACCATTATTTTGACAAAGTTTATACTCTGTGGTTCAAAGTTGGCAAGATACTTAAATTTGTAGGCTTACGGACAAACAAAACACCTCCTTCCACACACACACACACACACACACACGTAGTCTCCAAAACTGGGCCACCATCAACCATGTCACCATCAACCATACCAAGACCATGGTTATGCACATCAACCTCTCCTCCGACATTGTCCCACCTCCTTCCATTACTCTAGGTCCGAACACAC